AAGGCTTGATATCTCAATAACTTTTATTAAAGAACTGAGGGTTGAGGAAGCATTGGGAGAGGACAGGTGAGGATAATATGAGATTGTGTCTTTGAAAGAGCTCACAGAATTTTCCAAATCTGTTCCCTATCTTAGAAAAAAAATCAAACAAGTAATATATGAGTTCCCTAAAAAGCACAGGCCCAGATGGATTTATAAACATTTAAAGAACAACTAATTCCAACACTATATGAACTGTTTGAAAAAAAAAACAGGTAAAGGAGTATTACCAAATTCTTTTTATGACACAAATATGGTTTTAAAATCTAAATGAGGGAGAAAAAGAAAAACAGAGAACGAACACTACAGACTAATTTCCCTGATGAATATCAATTAAAAAATGAAAACAAAATACTAGAAAGGGGCTCACAGCAATATACTACAAAGATCATATACTATGACCAGATGGGATTTATACCAGGAATGCGAGGCTGGCTCAAGATTAGGAAAACTATAAGCATAATTGACCATATCAATAACAAAAGCAACACAACACAAAGACAACATGATTATGTCATGAAAAACGCTTTTGAACAAAGTATAACAGCCATTCCTATGAAAAACACTAGAAATCATAAAAATAAATTTAGTCTTTCTTAAGAGCAAGCATTATCTATAATGGAAATAAACTAGATGCCTCCCCCATAAGATCAGGGGTGAAGCAAGGATATTCATTATCACCATTATTATTCAATAATGTATTTGAAATGCTAGCTATAGTAATAAGACAAGAAAAAAATGAAATTAGAATGGGCAATGAAGAAACAAAATTACCACTTTTTGCAGATGATTATATGATGGTTTACTTAGAGAATGCTAGAGAAAGAGCTAAAAAATTAGTTGAGACAATTAACAACTTCAGCAAAGTTGCAGGATATAAAATAAATCATCAGCATTTCTATATATTACCAACAAAGTCCACTAGGAAGAGATAGAAAAAGAAGTTCCACTTAAAACAACTGCAGATAAGACAAAAGACTTGGGAGCTTACCTGCCAAGACTCACACAAGAAGTACATAAATACAATTACAAAGCACTCTTCATGCAAATAAAGACAGATCTAAAGAATTCTAGAAATATCAACTGTTCATGGGTAGGCTGAGCCAATGTAATAAAAATGAGAATATGACTGAAATTAATTTACTCATTCAATGTGGTACTAATCAAACTACCAAGTAATTACTTCATAGAGCTAGAAAAAAATAATAACAAAATTCATCTGGAGAATCAAAAGGTCAAGAATATCAAGGGAATCAATGAAAATAAAAAGCAAAGGAAGACAGCCTACCAGTACTAGATCTCAAACAAAAGTGGCAATAGTCAAAATACTTTATATAATCAAGTGGTAATAATCAAAATAATTTCCTTTATAGGAAATAGAGTGTTTTGGTCAGTGCAATAGATTAGGTACATTATATTCAGAAGCAAATGAGCACAGTAACTTAGTATTTGATAAAACCGAAGATCTCAGTTATTGGGGCAAGAATTCACTGTCTGTTGAAAACTGGAAAGTATTCTGGCAGAAACTAGACATAGATAAACATCTCATGTCATATACCAAGAAAAGCTCGAAATGGGTGTATGATTTAAACATAAAAGGTGATATAATTAAATTAGGGAAACATGGAGAAAAATACCTGAAGATTTATGGACAAGAGAAGAGTTCATGACCAAACAGGAGATAGAAAGGATTATGGAAGATAAAATCGATAATTTTGATGACATTCAATTACATTTAACCGCCCCCCCAAAAAAAAACAAGTTAGCCAAATACAGAGAAAATTAGAAGAAAAACAGGAAACGGGGGGTGGGGTTTATAGCAAGTTTCTCTGATAAAGGTCTTATTTCTCAAACATATAAGGAGCCAAATAAGAGCCATTCCTCAATTGATAAATGTTCAAAGGATATGAACAGGAAGTTTTCAGAAGAAGAAATCAAAGTTATAGTCATACAAAAAGTTGTTATATATCACTATTGATTAGAGAAATGCAAATTAAAACAACTCTGAGGTACCACCTCACACCTGTCAGGATGGCTAATAATGACAGAACAGGAAAATGACAAATTCTGGAGGGGATGTGGAAAAACTGAAACTCTAATACACTGTTGGTGGAGTTGTAGACTGGTTCAACACCTCTGGAGAACCATTTGGAGCTATGCCCAAAGGGCTATAAAACTGTTTATACCCTTTGACCAGCAATACCATTTTGAGCCATATCCCAAAGAGATCAAAGAAAAAGGAAAAGGGCCCATATATACAAAAATATTTATAGCAGCTTTCTTTGTAGTGGCAAAGAATTGGAAATTGAGGGGATACCCATTAGTTGGAGAATGTCTAAATAAGATGTGGTATATTAACTTGATGGAATACTATTGTGCTGTAAGAACTGATGAAGGAAATGATGAAGGGGATTGTTTCAGACTTATATGAACTAATGGAAAGTGAAGTGAGAAGAACCAGGTAAACAATGTACACAGAAACAGCAATATCCTAAACAATCAACTGTGAAAGACTTAGCAATTCTGATCAATACAGCAATCCACAACAGTTTCAAAGGACTCGTGATTAAAAATGGTATCCTCCTCCAGTTAGAGAACTGATGAACTCTGAGTGCAGATTGAAGCTTGTGTGTGTGTGTGTGTGTGTGTGTGTGTGTGTGCGTGTGTGCATATTTATTTTTCTTGCTTTTTTCTCACAACAAGGCTGATTTGGAAATATGTCTTATATGACATCATATGTATAATGAGTATCATATTACTTGCCTTCTCAATTCGTGGAAGAGGGAGTGGAGGAAGGAAGAGAATTTGGAACTGGAAATTAAAAAAAAAAAAAGGAAAATGAGGTTTGATATGCCTGTGGATTCATTTGCCAAAACCTTCTCCCTCAAATGAGACCCTATCTCTCTCATTCTCAAAAATCTTACCATCCCTACTACTTTTCAACCTATATCTTTCATTTTCTTTGTGGCTAAACTCCTTGAGAAAGCCATCTACATTTGCTCCCTTTACTTCCTTTCCTCTCACTGTCTTCTAAGTGTTTAGTATGGCTTCCAACCTCATCACTCAACTGAATCTGCCCTCTGCAACATTGTCAGTGATCTCTTAATTACCCGATTAAGCATCTTTTTCTCAATCCTGATTCTTCTTGACCTCCCTGATGCTTTTGACGCTGTCCTGGATAGTCTCTTCTCTCTGGGTTTTTGTGATGCTTCTCTCTCCTGCTTCTTCTCCTTTCTGACCACTTCTCAGTCTTCTTTGCTGATTCTTTATCAATGTCATGCTTGGCAACCATGAGTATCCCCCACAAGGCTCTAAACTGGCCCCCTTTTCTTTTCATTTTATATTATTTTAGTTGGCAATCTCACCAGCTACCACATATTCAATGATCATTTCTGTAGATGCTAAATCTATAGCTCTAGCACCCATCTATCTGTTGAGCTTCAGCCACACATCTCTAATTGCTTCTTGGATGTCTAGAACTGGATATCCTTTAGGCATCTCAAATTCAATATTTCCAAAATAGAACTCTTTCTCTTTTCCCTGAATGCTCCCCACTTTGGAACTTCCCAATTACTGTTGGGGGCAGCACCATCCTTCCAGTCACCCAGACTTAGTCTCTGTGTTATCTTTGAATCATTCTCCCTTACCCAGATCTCCAAACAGTTGCCAAATCTCATCACTTCTACTTCCGAAACATCTCTCTGATATCTATCTCCTCTCCACTCAGGCAGCCGCAATCCTAGTCCAGGCCCTTATCACCTCCTGCCTATCCTATTTCAACAGCCTTTAAACTGGTGTTCTTGTCTCAAGTTTCCCACCACTCTAAATCCATCCTCAGTTGCCAAAATGATTTTGGTCTAAAGCTTGTCTGATCAGTGGGACTTCATTCCACCCACCCTTTCTGGACAACAGGAAGGCCAGAGACACTGGAAGAAAGGGAAAATCTGATGGGTGGGTGGGTAGGTCAACCCTATTTTATGAGGGGGAGTCCTTACCCTCATACTTAGACCTCCCAATCCCATCTCAACCTTACAGCTGATGCACCTTAGGGGAAGGAGCTGTGAAGTAGTCACGTCCCACCTATGTGCCCACCCCAGCCATCTCCCCCAGATGGCTTTTTTATTACACTAAATTGCAAGGACCCATCCAGTGGTCCCTGAGTTGCTTCAGCCAAACTCTGGCTGCTTCTTCGCAGGTGGCTGGTGGGCAGTTGGTCATGGCCTAGGAGCTGCAGCTTGAGGCCAGATCTCCCCCCCCCCATTCCAGGAGCTTTAGGATCTGACTTAGGCCAGCCACTGAGGGTCGTGGTGGCTCAGGATTTGTACTCGATTGGAGTTAAATGTGGGTAAAGACAGATACTTTAGAAGCCTGATAACAATTCAGGGCTAAGCATGTACCATGGATAACTATTCAGTAGCTCAAAGGTCACAGCTAGCTGGCAAGAGGCTTATGCTTCTAGAGGTCAATGCTGCTGTGCCTAGATTCAGACTCAGACCAATAACTTGGTCCAAAGGTCATAGCAGCTACTACAGGAAGCTCAACACATTGTGTATCTCTGGTGAGGGAAGTGGGGCACCTTCAGGCCCAAGGCTTGAACTCTCACTGTCTAGCCTGCTAGGGACTTTGATAGGCTTGGGGGGAGTGGTTGGGATGTTAGAAAGAGTGGCTTTGGTGTTTTTTTTTCCCCCCAAGGGGAGAGAAGGGGTTCATAGGCTTCCTGGACACTTTGGGCATGCTGCCCTTGTTCGGTCATTCGTGGTTTGTTTTATTTTTCATTCCCCAATCTGGCAAGACCTTCCCTCACCCCTCTCCCTCCCTGCTTCCTAGTGGGAATGAATGACCATCATCCACCCAGCCTGCCCTTGCCGCGAGAAAAAAAAACAACACATACAACAAATAGAATTGATTTGCAGGTAAGACTTTTTATTTTGCACCACAACCCAGCACAAGATGGGAGAGCAAGCAACCCCAGTCCCCTTAAGAATTTACTATAGACACATTGCGAGATACACAGGTGGAAATAGCAGGGGAAGGGCCGACTGAGTTCTGAACATCCATTCTTGAACCCTCCTCTGTCCCTTCCTGGCTCCCACATCTACTGTCTGTAGACACTTAAATTCCCACCCCCCCAACGAGAGTCTGATACTTTCATGGGCAGGGACAGTGGGGAGGTAGCTCCCTCTGAACCTGGGAGGTGGGACAAGACTTGTGCTTCTCTAATGGTCACTCGATTCCCTTTGCCAGGAAGGAGAGGGTCTTCCAAAGTGCATTGCAAACTCTACAAAGATTGGGAGTAGGGGAGTCAGCCACCTCTGGAATGACAATTTAAAGCCAAAGTGACAACGACGCAAAGGTCTTTTTTTTTTTCCTCCCATTTCGAGTCCTCCAGAGACTCCACACTCTTCCTGAGAGGGAGGAAGCAAGCCTGCAGCCTCCCCAGGTGACTTGCTTTGTAGAACTCAAGACTTCTCCCAGCCGGGAGCTCTCCATGCTTGCTGGTGCTGAAACACAGCGCTCCAGAGGTGCTTGGGGGCAGAATGCCCATCTTGGATTGGGGAAGGGAAGTAGGCAATAGGGTCTGGGGGGGGAGGGAGAGAGCGGGGCACGTCAAGGGAGAAGCCTCCCTCATTTCCAGTTGAGGAACCCAACCCTCACCTTCCCCCAGGAGATCCTGTTCTTTCCCTCTTCCAAGCCTAGGGTTCCTTGGAAGGCTGAGGGGACATCTCCCCAAGCCCCCGCCTCGAATTGAAGAATTTTTGGGATAGTGCTTCTGCTTCCACCAGCACATAGGCACAAACACGTACAAACACGCACAAATGCGCACAGAGCAGCCAGCGTGAAACCGCTTCCGAGTTGGAGCGGATAAGCATGGAGCTGAATTGGGGGGGAAGCCTTGCACCCCGGGAGGGAGGCAGCAAGGTCAGGGGGCGAAAGGCCAGAGGCTGATTCCATCACGAGGGGGCAATTCTACCCCGGAAGGGGCCTCCCACTCCAACTTTCCCCATTTTGCTCTGTCCTCACACGGACCCTTCCCCTTCGGTGTTCCCTGCCCCTCCTCTGGCCCAGGACCTCTCAGCCGAGAAGCCCTGGGCTCGTCCACTCCACTCATTCCTCAGCCCCCACCTCGACACTCCTCAACCTCTCCTCCCGGACCCTCGCCCCACTCCCTCGCCCAGAGCCTCAGACGTTGCTGGAGGCAGCGCGAGGTCGGGAGAAGAGGGAGCGCAAATAGGTGGTGTAGGCAACCGACAGAGACCTCTGAATCTCAGGGTTGCGAAAGCCGTAGACCACCGGGTTAATGGCCGAGTGGCAGGCGGCTGGCAGCGCCAGGTAGTAGGTGTAGACCTGCGGATAGGTAGGGTCAGCCACCATCGCGTAGACGGCCAAGGGCACCCAGCAGAAGGCGAAGGTGGCCAGGATCAGCGAGAGAGTGGACACGCCCTTGCGAGTGCTGGACATCAGGCAGAAGGCGGACGGCATGGGAGAGCCAGCATTGTTGACAATGTGGCGCTGGACAGCGATCTGCTGCGCGTGGCGGAAGGCGACCCGGCAGATCTGCAGGTAGAGATGCAGGATAAAGGAAAAGAGGAACAGATAGGAGACAGACAGCCCGGCCGCCTGATCCTTGGTCAGGGGGCTCAGAACGCTGCAGTTGTCAGGGGTGTCCAGGCAATGCCAACCCATAGCGGGAAGAGCACCAATGCCGAGACAGGTGAGCCAGAGAGCCGCCAGGAGACCACAGGTGAAGGGCAGAGTGCGTTCGGCCTGGTAGGTGAGAGCGTTGTACAGGGACAGGTATCGATCCACCGTGATGGCCAGCAGACTACAAGCAGAGGCCGAAAAGGCGGACAGCAGCAAGCCGGCCAAACACAGGGCTACAGCGTCGCTCACCGGATCCATCACGCATCTGACAACGAAGTTGGCCACCAGGCCCACGCCAGCGAGCAGGTCGGCCAGGGCGAGGCTACCTATAAGCATAAAAGTGGGAGCCCGAAGGCTGGGAGTGCAACAGAGCACGGCCAGCACCAGGGCGTTCTCGCAGGCCATGACTGTGCCTGCTGCGCACAGTGCGATGTCCCACGGGCTCACCCCCTCGCCACCTCCCAGACCCCTGCCACGGCCCATCGGCCAGGAGCCGTTGGGGGGCCAGGGACTGCCATCTGGCGGTGGGGGAGGTGAGGCATCCGTGGCGGTGCTGGGACTGGTGCCTGGGCTAGGGCTGGAGCCGGTGGAGGCTGAGGTATGGAGCAAGAGGTCGAGGGGCGACTCGAGAGGCGACTGCGTCGGTGGGGGGACCATTTCTGTGGAAAGGAAGGCAGAAAGGAAAAAGTGGGATCAGGGGCTGGAGCTGAGGGGCGGGGCAAGAAGAGCGGGAAAGGAACAAGAGCAGGGGGAAAGCAATGCAACCTCTGGACTCTGGGAATTTGGGGTGGGGGGAGATAGAAGGGCCCCGAAGCTGACCGCCCCACCCATGACTCTCGGGGGCGCCACGGTTTGGCAGAGTCGGAGATGAACCAATCTCTCTGTGTTTGTCTGGTGGTCGATGTTTTGAAGATCCAGGGGGACTGTCTGCCAGTGTCTCTAAGCCTCACAATACTGCACTTCCTGTTCTTTCTAAGCCTCAGGTTGTCTTTCTGTCTGTTCTTCCTCGAGGTCTCTCTGTGCCTTCGGGTGCTTTCTGTCTACCTCTCTAAGGCCCCAGAGTGTCCTTCTGTCTATCCACCCCAATCTAATGTCCCAGGGCTTGTGTCTTTCTCGCCCTCCTCAGTGCATCAGGGTGTCTTTCTGTCAATTTCCTAAGTCCCTAGGTGAGAATCAGCCCTTTTTACATCTGTCTTCATCCTCTATGTGTGTGGGTGTGTTTGACCCCACAATTGTTTTTGGACCCCTCCTCCACCCCCGCCCCTAGTTTCAGAACCCCGAGGGGGTCTTTCTGTCTGAATTCTTGGTTTCTGCCTCCTGAACACCCTGAAGGCTAGCTTCCCCGCTGAGAGCCGCCCCTCAAATACGTGCTTGAGGGAAAAGTCCGGACTCAGTAGATCACTTTGGTTTTAGGGGTTTTGGTGGTGGTGGTGATGTTGGCGGCGGTGTGTGTGTGTGTGTGTGTGTGTGTGTGTGTGTGTGTGTGGCGCGCGCGCGCCCGTGTGTGTTTGGTGCAACATTTCCCTGGACACCGCTGCAGCCGCTGCAAAGACACCCAGCCTGGGCGCTGCGCTCTGCGCGGAGCCAAGCTAGGCTCCCTTCTCCTCTCTAGCGATCCCTGGGACCTCAGCCCAGCCTGCCCCCAGCGCTGTGCCCTTAGCTCGGTGGCAACCTGCGGCTAAGGTGCCTCAGGGCTCGCGGAGGAGGCAAATGCTCTGCAGCCACCCATAGCTGTTCCTTGGGGGAAAAAAGGACGTGCCCTCCACTGTTCCTCCCAATCCCAGCCCCAGCCCCAGCCTCAGCCTCCGTCCAGCCCCGATCGGGACCATGGACAGAGGCTCCCCTACTCATCCCAGACCCAACATTCCCCGATGCCCAACCACTGCCTCCCACGCCCCTTGCCCTCCATTCCATTGCCCCTGATTTTTCCATTCCCTGCCGCCCTCTGCCCCTGCCCATTCCGACCCGCGCCCAGTCTGGAGTCATGCAACACCCATCTCTTACTTGGGCCGGCTTGACCGGCTGGTCCGGTCCCAGCGATCAAGGCTCAGCGGAGCCTTTGAAGACTGCTGCTCCTTCCTCTTCCTCTGACCAGTCTCCGGATCTGAAGCCCTACTCCGTGGTGAAGGCTGCTAATAAAGCTATGGTATTGACTCGCACTTAATATTCTTACCCTATTGGGTCTGCTGATAAAGCTCACTGCTGACGTCAAAATGTTCTCTTATATTCATGATGGGCTCTAAAGCCTGCGGAGCAAAGGAGGTGGGAACAGAATAACAAGGAGGCTCTCGCACATCCCCCCTCCCCTCTCCATCCCTTCACAAAGAAGCTGAGCAGCCCCCTCTCCACTCCCCCTTCCGCTGTACCTCCTCATCCCTCCCCACTCGCTCCAGGGACTCTTGGATTCTGTTCGGGGGCGAAGGGGAGGGAGGGATAACGGAGTGGAAAGGAAAGAAAACTGGTTTGGGAGTCAGGCAACCTGGCTTTGAATCTATGCTTAGCTCCTTTTCTCATGAGGCAACATAGATTAGGGCACTGAGCTTTGCATTTGGACTCAGTAGACCTGAGTCCAGATCCTGTTCTGCTACTGTGCAACCTTGGGCAGATCGCTTTACTTTTCTGGGCCTCCTTTTTCTCATCTTTCAAATGGGGAGGCTGGCCTCTAAAATCCCTTGCAGCTCAGACTCTACAATCTTGGGATCTGCCAAGTCCTCTGAGGAGGCTGTTTAGGTCCACCAAGATGTGCGCTTATAATTAGGGGATCCAGAGTCAGGTGGGATCCAACAAAGAGCTGACCCACGGCCACATGGAAGGATCAGACTTCCTCTCTGCTTGGCTGAGCTAGGGGTTGGGGGATGTTGGCTCGGAGTCAGTGTGGGAAGTTGATTTATGGGTTTTATTATTTTCTATTGGGTGGAATAAAAGCTGTCTTATAGCTGATATACACTGATACCTTGAGGTGGGGACCCTTTTACTCACATCTGTGGAGACCTAGATGCAAGTCATATTTGAGCAGCATTCCAAGATTTCCCAGAGGCCAGTGGGGGGCATGAGCCAAAGAGAATATGTGTGTTTTCAGGGCTGCCCACAGTTATTGCGGTCATGTCTGACTCTTTGTGACCCCATTTGGGGTTTTCTTGGCAGATACTGGAGTGGTTTTGCCATTTCCTTCTCCAGCTCATTTTACAGATGAGGAAACTGAGGCAAGCAGGTTTAAGTAACTTGCCCAGAATCACACAGCTAAGAAGTATTTGAGGCTAGCTTTGAATGAAGGAAATTGAGTCTTCTTGACTCCAGGGCCAACACTCTATCCACTGCCCAATGGGCTGCCCACAACATAGGAAGCAGTTAGATATCAAAATGGATAGAATGGGGCACGAAGTCAGGAAGATTTGTCTTTGTGAGTTCAAATCTGGCTTCAGACCCTTCCTAGCTGTGACCCTGGGTAAGCCACTTAACCCTGTTTGCCTCAGTTTCCTCATCTCTAAAATGAGCCAGAGAAGGAAGTGGCAAACCACTCCATATCTTTGCCAGGAAAATCCCAAATGGGATCACAAAAAGTGGGATATGACTGAAATGATTCAAGAACAACAATAACAAAACAACACTGGACCCAGTCTGGGCCATGACTTACATAAATATAATCTGCCAAGACAATTGAACTGTATATAAAGTGAAATACACTTTTCAACAGGTTGGATGACTGAAAAAAGAATTGTCAGACCTGACAGGGACATCACCTAGTCAACCCCCACCCCACATTTTACAGAAGAAGAAACTGAAGACCAAAGAGGAAAAGCAACTTACAACATGAATTTGTGACAGACTTGGGGCTTGAACCCATGTTTCTGACTTTATGCCCAATGCTCTTTCCATTTAATCTAGTCCTTCACTTGTTGGGAGCAGTTGCAAAGGGAATTCTTGCTCCGGTAGGGATTTCACTAGCTACCCTCTGAGGTCAATTCAACTCTGAGTTTCTGTGATTGCCTATGGAGGATGAGAAGCCTTACAGGGGAAGGATGTTGAGGGGACCTTCTTACCAGGGGCCAGTACAAGCCACTCACTTCATCTCCAGCCAGGGTAATTACTGCAGGAGGGCAGAGCCAGTCTAGAGCTCTAAAATTGCTGTCAACTCCTGAGTGGCCCTCTGGGCCAGGGCCAAGGCTGTGGCTGCCTCCCCCCCCCCCTTCCATCCACACCTGGCTTACTCCTCACAAGCACTACATCACCGGTATGTGAATTATACGTGAGCATAGCTGGCTCTGGGTGATCAGCCTAGAGCAAGGGTTCTGGAAACTTCTTTTGCATAGCCAACGGTGTGTGTGTGTGTGTGTGTGTGTGTGTGTGTGTGTGTGTGTGTGAGAAAGGCTCTGGATGATGAATCCAAAGACTCCATCTGACACTTTACTAGGTGTGGGACCCTGAGCAAGTCATTCCAATTCTGTGGTCCTCAGTTCCTTCTCTGAAAAATGAGAGGGTGGGTGTGTGTGTGTGTGTGTGTGTGTGTGTGTGTGTGTGTGTGTGTGTGTGTGTATATAGGGGAGTGATCAACCAATCAGAGGGTGGAATGAGGGGTCGTAGCCCACCCTGCCTACAATAGCCAATCATGAGGCTTGTCTCCAACCCAACCACACCTACCCATATCTTCCAACAATCCCCTACTTTACCCCCTCCTTCCGCTGTGCTAGTTCCTGCCTTCCCCCCACCCTTTTTTTCTGAGCCCAGCCTCCGCCTAGCAATGCAGTTATAACCTAACCACTCCCTGGTCACCCACAGCAACAGCTACTGGGAAAATCCTTTCCCTTTCCCCCCACCCCACGATCCTGGCCCTCTTCTTCATCCCCACCCCTACCATCCCCAGCTTTCCAGATCCCCTGGAACTGTGCAGGTGCCCCAGGAGGGCAGGCTGGGCTTTCAAGGGTAATGAAGCCCCCTGCCGCCCCCTTTTTCGTTAGGACAGTGAGCCTCACTGGAAGCACATACATAGATGGGTCTCAATCTGCTTAGCAAAATCCTCTCTTTTCCAAACTTCCCTATTACTGTTGAGAATTCAAGCACCCTTCATGTCAGCCAGGCTCCCAACCTCAGAGGTAGCTTCCTTTCCGCACTCCCTCTCCCTACTTCTCCAGTCACTTGTCGCATCGCATCCTTTCTACCTCCACAGCATCTCCCTCAGCCATCTCCTTCTCTCTACTCACACAATCGCTCCCTTAGTTCAGACTCTCATCACCTCTCACCTGGACTATCGCGATCACTTTTTAATTACACTCCCGGTCTCACATCTCTTCCTCCTCCAATTCATCCACCATACAGCTGCTAAAGCGATTTTCCAAAAGCTCAAGTCTGGCTGGATCACTCTCTTACTTAACAAATTCCAGTGGTTCCCTATTATCTGTAAGATAAAATTTTATTTCATGTTTATCTCATCCGTTTAAAGTATCTATTTTTGTGAGTTTTATAACATAAATAATTATTAGTAAAAATCACACATGGCATAATGGACAAATAGTAAGATCAAGAGTCAGGAAGACCAAAATTCAAATCCTGCCTCAGATGCTTTTTTGCTGTGTTATCCTGAGCAAGTCACTCTTTCAGCCTAAGTTTCCTCATTTGTAAAATGGAGATAATTATAGTACCTATCTAACAGGGTTGTTGTCAGGATCAAACTCATGATTACATGTAAAGTGTATATGCAACCCAGAAAGCACTATATCAATGTTAACTATTACTATTTTGCATATAATTTGTTAATAAGAAAATATACACGTATTTGAGGTAAATGCTCAGAAATTTTATACTTGGGGTGTATGAGATAAAAAATGTTTGGAGATCACTGGTCAAGATGATTTCTAAGGACACTTTCAGCTCAAAATCCAATGATCCCAGGGCAGCTAGGTGGCACAGTGGACAGGGCACCAGCCCTGAAGTCAGGAGGACCTGAATTCAAATCTGACCTCAGACCAAACACTTGACACTTACTAGCTGTGTGACCCTGGGCAAGTCACTTAATCCCAAATATCTAAAAACAAAACCAAAACAAAAAATCCAACGATCCCATTACGCCCTCAGAGCCTTACTCTTTGGTAAAGTGAAGATAATAATATTCTTACTCTCTACTTCACAGGGATTTGTGGAGGACAATACTTTGTTAGCTAAATTTATTATTTATTATTATTTTATTACTTATTATTATTACTTGCATATACATATGAACACACACATATATATACATACATATATATATATATGCTCATATGCAGTTGCCCATGGCATGCACACTTCCAGATGCACGTTTCCATGGATACACAGCTATTAAATATACCTAACCATATATACACCCCAATAAGACCACATGAGTACATATAATATATAATTGATGCATTTGTAAACAGGCACACACACACATGCACACCACAGGCACTCCTCTTACCAGAATTTCTCCTCTCCAGCCTCTGTAAAGAGAGTCAGAATGACCATATAGCGAGTGAACTCTGGCCCTAGTCCAGCTTATTCTGGGATGGAGATATATAGGCTTTGAGGACCTTTGAACCGAGACTAAAGTATATTAAGGCTGGGAGGGATCTGAGAGACCTGTCAGCACAATCTTCTTATTAGAAGGAAACTGAGGTCTAGAGAGGGGAAATTCCTTGTCCAAGGCCACCCAGCTAGTTAATGGCAGGTTTGAGACTTGGACCTGAGTTTATGCTCTCTCCAACTGGCCCACACTGTCCTCTGGGCTAGGATATCCCTCTTGAGATGGGTTCTATGGAAAGGAAAATATTTCTGAGCGGCTACTGGTTGCAATGAGTGGGTTCGGTAGGGAAGAAAAGATGTAGATTCAGTGGGATGCGGCGGGGTGGGGGCATAGTCCTTTCTGGCATAAGAACATTATGGCAAGAAGGCATTTCTTCCCATCATCCTGTACTCTCCCACAAGTACACACATCAGTGGGAGGGGTGGATACAGGGAGGCAATATATGTGGAGAGGCACACAAGTAGAGAAGACCCCTAACTGGGGCACACATGGAGGGGTGTAGACAGGGAACATGTGGGGCAAGGGAGCTTGCATGGAGGAGCCTCAC